TCCTAAGTCATTGTTATATTAGAAATTAAAACTTGAATTTCTCAGTGATCTGTCAACTTAGAACGGGGAAAGAAGTCCTGGAGGGAGGGTGACAGCTCTCAGGCACGGGTGACGGGAGCTAGAGCATCACGAGTGTACACAAAACTCCAAAGGACAGGGAGCCGTGTCCAGGGCAAGTGCGCAGGGGTAAGGTAGCAGAAGATCCTGAAGAGACTGTAGACTACTACTAACTAGACCAGGCAGACACATTTCATATTGAGGGAGAAAGAATATGTATTTATTGTCAAAGCAGCCTATTTTAAAGACCGAGAAAATTCATTTTCATTAAAGGAGGAATAAGTCATGACTCTTTCCAATGCTAAGTCTACTTTTTGCATTTAGTTTTTTTTCCAAAAAAAAAAAAAAAAATTCCTACACCCTTAACAACCAAAAACACCTTGATGAACTATTTTAAGCCAGTTGTCCATTGAGAGAATGCCTCCATGTGAAATTCCCATCAGATGCTTCTCCTGCCTTTTTCTTTTCTTTAAAGTTTTATTTATTTCTGAGAGAGAGAGAGAGAGAGAGAGAGACAGCGTGAACAGGCGAGGGTCAGAGAGAGAGGGAGATACAGAATCTGAAACAGGCTCCAGGCTCTGAGCTAGCTGTCAGCACAGAGCCCAATGCGGGGCTCGATCCCACGAACCATGAGATCATGACCTGAGCCGAAGTCAGATGCTTAACCGACTGAGCCACCCAGGTGCCCCTCCTGCCCCTTTCTTTCAACAAGTACATGTTGGGCACAGCTTCTGCTGGGCACACGGGGGATCAGGACACAGTCCCCACTGTGCAGAGCTGGGAAGAGGGACCGGCTCATAACATGCGTAGAGTGGCTGGATGCAGCCAGAGGCTGGCCTAGCCTGTGATGAGGCTTTTACACAGCAAGTGATTTAAAACCATGTGTTTATCTTAAACGCTGCCTGGCAAGTGACGACTTCTTCAACCCTTTAAGCACGAGCACGCACTTTACAGGTTTGAAAAATAGTTACGTCCCTTCACCAGACTCGTAGTTCCTTTGACGCTAGCCTGACGTCACTTATTGACTGTTTCACTTTTAACACAGTTTGTCAGTGGCTCTCATGAAACTACCGTTGGTACTAGAACAGGGTGTAAACCCCACATCCAGTCGGCCCGTCCATATCCCACAAAGCTGTTATCCCCCCCCTTGAATCAGGTACGAAGTTTGTTAATGGAGGATATGTGAAATAGCTAATCCTTTGGGGGGGGGGGGGGCTTTCCCTCATCAACAGCCTTCTTCCTTGAATAATCAGCTGGTGTCTGTGGACTGCAAGAAAGGAAGCAGAGTCCCAGCAGACAGTTCCCAGAGGATGCTAAGAATTGCCGAACCAGACGCGAGATTCAGCGGCTTCTACAGCATGCAGAAACAGAACCACCTCCAGGCAGATAACTTCTACCAGACAGTGTGAAGAAAGGCAGCGGGGACGAGGTTTCGAAAGACAGACGACGAAATCTGCTTTGAAAAGTAAACTAGAATTTGTGCACTTGCTTAGTGGATCGTTTTGGATTGTGACTTGACGTACAGCGCTAAGAACTTACCGGGACGGGCTGTGTCTCCAGCAGTGTGCCGAACAAACATTCCCACTCTCCTCAAGGTCACTGACCAAGTGTTTTCTTAGAACCAAAGTTTTTCAAGTAAGATGTAATTTGCTTGTAATCTAGCTGTAGAGGTGTTTGGGGGCGGGGGACAGCGAGTTTGGCTGGGGAGACGGGTCGGGATGGTGGTGTTGGGAAGGCAAATTGGTCAGCCTGGCTCGGGGAGAAACCCAGTGTAATAAAAGCAGTTGAGCAGCCCAGAGGATGCTTTTTCCCATTGCTCCGAAGACTGCCCGGGTCGCGGCCCAGCCCAAGCCTGAATGAGCAGGGAAACCAAGGCCTTGCGATCCAGCTGCCGTTAACCACCATTAGGACTGCCCGCCAGCACACCAGAACCTTTTGATAGCCATGCCCGGTCTAACGCCACGAGTTTCTTTTCTATCCAGTCACAGCCGCGGTAGGCGGCCAGGAGGCCAGAGAGGTGTCGCGGTGTTTCTCTGACGCGGGTTACTGAGGATAGATACAGTTAGACTTTTTGCTGCTTTTGTTTTCTTCCAAGCCAATCAGCCAGTTCCTAGCAGAGTCAGCGAGTGAACGAGACGCAAGTCGTTTCTTGATGCGAGCACTGGAGCTCCTCACCACGGCGTGGCAGGGAGGAGGTGAGGGCGAAGGACACCAGGTCTTTCCAGGGGCTGTACTTCACTATCTGTTGTTGCTTTGTTCTGTTGTTGGTTGTTCATAGTTTTTGTTGAAGCTCTAGCTTAAGAAGAAACTTTTAAAAAGGACTGGGGATTTTTTTTTTCCTTATTATATACTGATTCTACAAAATAGAAACTACTTCATTTTAATTGTATATTATTCAAGCACCTTTGTTGAAGCTCAGAAAAAAATATGCCTCCTTAAACTTTAGCAATTATAGGAATATTTATGTAACTATCTTATGCTTCAAAAAAACAAAAGTATTTGTGTGCGTGTGTATATAATATATATATGCGTATATATTTATACACATACAATTTATGTTTTCCTGTTGAATGTATTTTTATGAGATTTTAACCAGAACAAAGACAAACAGGCATTCCATATCAATGCTTCTGATCACTTACAAATTTTTAATAACACAAAATTTTATTCTACCTGCGGTTTAATTGGGAAGAAAGAAGTGTGTGGTGAGTGTGAGTGAGTGTGAGTTGTGTGTATGCACAGGCCTTGTGCAGTCAGCATCACACCTGCGATGGAGAAGGTGTTCCTTCATTAAAATCTTCCTCATTTGGATCTGCTTTTCTGTTGGTTTTCAATTTGTTCCCTGGCCAGAACCATCGACGGCAGTTCATCTGCATCGCTAATCAGCTCCTGGATTTTTTTTTTCTTCAAACAACTGTTTGAAACAACTACTGGAATATTGTCCGTAATAAGCTGGAAGTTTGTTGTAGTTTGCCTCAGATATAACTGACTGTATCCTATAGTGTTAACTTTTCAAACAGCTCTCAGCACTTTTATACTAATTACCCATTTGTGCATTGATTTTCTTTTTAAAATGCTTGTTGAGAAAGACACAGATACCCAGTATGCTTAATGTGAAAAGAAAATGTGTTCTGTTTTGTAAAGGAACTTTCAAGTATTGTTGTAAATACTTGGACAGAGGTTGCTGAACTTTAAAAAAAAATTAATTTATTATTATAATGACCTAATTTATTAATCTGAAGATTAACCATTTTTTTGTCTTAGAATATCAAAAGGAAAAGAAAAAGGTGTTCTAGCTGTTTGCATCAAAGGAAAAAAAGATTTATTATCAAGGGGCAATATTTTTATCTATTTCCAAAATAAATTTGTTAATGATACGATGTTACCAAAATAGATTTACATCAGCCTGATTAGTATAAAGTTTTGTTGACAATTAATCCATTCCTGGCATAAAAAAATCTCTATAAAAAAAAATTGTAAATGCTTGCTTTTTGTTTTTTCAATCATGGCCATATTATGAAAATACTAACAGGATATAGGACAGGGTGTAAATTTTTTTATTATTTTAAAGATATGATTTATCCTGAGTGCTGTATCTATTACTCTTTTACTTTGGTTCCTGTTGTGCTCTTGTAAAAGAAAAATCTAATTTCCTGAAGAATAAAATAGATCTATGGCACTTGGAGTGCACTGTAGGTCTACAGTTTGTTTTGTTTTCTTCAAAAACCAAAGCTGTGAGGCAACTTTTCGTGACTTGGTTCTTGGCAACAGGTAAACAATCTAAATCACACAGAGGACAGATCGTCCTTTTGTGTTGAGGTGGTCAGTCCGCTGACGCTCCCCCGTCCCAAAGCGCGGGCCTTGCCCTGGGACTCCTTGGAAGAAATCCCACCTTGGGGTACACGCCCCGGGACACCTGCTCAGAGGGAGACTGAAAACCTACCTGTTGAAAACCAATCAGAAACATGCTCCCCACGGGTATCCTGACCCCGTGTGTGCGAGAGGGTCGAGGTGGAAACACTGGTAGTCTACACTGAAGAAGACAGAGTTTATCAAGCAGAATCAGAGAAATCTCATTACAAGGAGACTGTGAGTTGATAAAAATCTCTCTTCATACACTCCAGAAGGATCAACTTAAGAATGAACTGTTGAATCTCTTCCAAAAAAACATACCCTCAAGGACTTCTGACTGTAATATGTCCTCTAAAGTGATATTGCCTTAGTACAGGCAAAGCTGTTAGAAATTTGGATCAATTTAGGCTACTACTGTATATAAGTACGCAGCTTCAAGTCAAGGTCAGGAAGCCAGTTAGTCCCACATACTCACTATCAAATAAAGCATTAACAAAGAACCATCTCGGGGCGCCTGGCTGGCTCAGTCAGTAAAGCATGGGACTCTTGATCTCCAGGTTGTGAGTTCAAGCCCCAAGTTGGGTGTAGAGATTACTTAAAAAATAAAACCTTAAAAACCAAATGAACAAGGAACCAGGTCGCGTTCCGCATGTACCCAGGTAACAGCGGAGCTGCTGAACCAGAATCCAAGTCCTAACCGAGCTGCTGCCTTCCTGGCTCTGGTGTCCCAGTTCCCAGGCGGACTGAGGAGTACGGAAGGGCCGCACGCTCACAGATGTGTACGTGGACCCTGAAGCCCCCTGACAGGCCCTCCGTGACGCCTACCGCACTCGTGGTGCCGGTCAAAGGCGGCTGCCAGGATGCCTCACAGGCCCAGGAAATGAGCAGAACGTCTCTCCTCCCACAGCAACCCCGGGCCATCTACAAAGGTCCCCCTGCCCCCTCCTCACCAGCAGGAAGCTGGCCAGGGGGTCTCACCAGCTCACACACCGTAGTGACAGACCGTGTGTAGACAGTAAAGGGCAGAAGCTAGCCCTGCAAGGAAAGAAAACCCGTAACAAATACAACAAAAACTCTCAGTCTCTCAATCATATGTTACCCTTTCTCCCAACATTTATTAAATGGTGGCAATGACTTGTGGAACTGGGCAAAGTTGTTTCGAGACCAGGATCTATGGACGAGGCGCTGCTCCCAGGACTGGGACTTGAGGAAGACAGGCAGGCGTAGGGGGGACAGAACCCGAGTGGGAGTGGGGCGAGGCTGCAGCACACAGGTAAGCACCTTAAAGGACACAAACTCCTTTTAAAGGACACTTGTTCACAGACGCGGGAGGCAAAACATTTAAGCATCCAGAGTTAATACAAGATTCTGAAAGTGAAGGGCAACTTGACGGTGACAGCTGGGGCGGTGGTGAGGCGCAGCAGCCTCCGTGCTCGCCAGCTGGTCCCGGCGAGGCTCGCCGCAGTGCCTGCGCCGGACCGGCCCCTTCCCAGGGCAGCCCACGCTTCAGGGTCCGTCTCCCTGGACAATACTGGTAGGTACTATTCATCCTGACCGCTCCCTAGATCAGGGTGGGTTCTGGCCATCACTGAAGAATCTCTCAATGCTTTCAACAAGTTCTTCAGTGCAGGGCAGCTCTAGAAAGCCACAAAACTCAACCGGGCGAACCGTCAGTGCAGGAAAAATGCAACTGCACATGCGCACATACCACTCCCCCTTCCTCTACAAAGTTGGAGGAGAGGAGCTCATAATTGTTAGCATTTAACAAAAAGCACCTGTAGAATTCAAAACCGTGCCATACATCTCTTGGTTCATAACAGAATTAGTGAAAGCATGATCTAGTAACACTGAATCACAAACCCAAGTTCAAGTGCGCGGAGTCTCCAACAGCAGGAAGGGGGTGGTAGCCAGCTTTCGGAACAATGCCATAGGAAATATCTAGCCTGTAGTCCGCGAAAGGGAAAGCCGCTCCTGGACTGATACCTTATGTAGGACACAGAACTAGAGGAAGGAGGAGAACTCGTAAACAGAAATGTATACTTTGCATACACATATTATATACATCTATGTATGTAAAAATATACTATTAAATGATGAGAAATCAATATTAATGCAAGGATCTACAATAGCAACTTTTTTTTAAAAAGGCTGTACCCAACGGAGAAAATTTCTCTCAAGACACGTGTATTAAAATCGCCCAGAAATGAGATGCCAAAAGGCCATGTCTCTTAGGTACTACATAGAGCAAAGAGCCCGTAACGTTCGCCCTATACCGACCAGCTCGTACCACAACAAAGAGGCTCCCTGGTAACTGAAAGAAGGGCTCAAGTCTCCACATGCTCACAGCAGCAAGCACGTCCACACTCCAGCCTTCGGCACAGCCTGGAGGGCGGGGGTGCAGCAGGCCACGCCAGGTAAAGCAGCAGATGGGAGGGAAAGCTTGAGTAGCCCACACAGCATCCATCCCACTTTTCTCAGGCCAAATGAGGCCACTTTTCTATCTTCTGTCATTTTAGACCTTTGCATTTAAACTAAGCTGGTGTATTCAGCGGCCAAGCCAGTCTTGGGTGTTAAAGCAGCTATGAGGAAGTCCCACCAAGGGAGCCGGAGGAGAGTTCTCCCTTGAGCAGAAAGCCCTGCCAGGCAAGGGTTCTAGTGGCCCCTGAGGCAGAGCAATTGCTGACCGGCTGCGGACTTCCAGGATGGGTGGAAGAGAGCAGTTGCCGTCGCGCCCCATCCGACAGTCCCATGCGACTGGACACTCTGAGCTTTACACACACCCAATCACTTGTCTGGGGTGCGGAGTCGCCGCTGTGGTCTGCACCCTCGCTTCTTTTCCACCCAGTCCTCACCGAGCCGAGGCAAAGCCACAACACATGCAAACGAGCAGCTCGGGAGAACAGGTGTAGACAGCTGGGCTCACAGGCTGGAACCTGTAGCCTGAGGCTGAGGAACAGAATTAGCTAAGTGCTGCTTCCCTAAGACACGTGGGATAGGTTCACAGTTACAGGCCCAGGTTTTCAGAGGAAAAGCTTAAACATCATTTGCCCCCAGATAACTCTCTTCTCCGGGTCATAAAATTCCTCAGTGCGGTGAAAGGATAAAATAGCTAGAGAGCTAGAGAACGCTTCCGAAGCTCATTCTATCTCGCGCCCACGGCAGTGCCCCAGGGACCCGTTATAATTAAAAACTGAGACATGTGCTTTATGTTCATCTCATTCCTGTGTCACATCTATAAGAACAAACTTCAGAACAATCCAGCTTTCATACCAGTGCTAGCACAACATAAAAGCAAAGATGTCAGGTATTAAAAAAAAAAAACTGGAATGTAATAGGAAGTAAAAGCCCTCCATCAGAAGAAATGGCTTATTAAAACATTTCAATCTCTTCCTTCAACCGCCTCCCCCACACCCCTAACCGACTAATGACCAGTTCCACTTCACTCTCACAGGTGACAATGTGTCGCTCACTTCGAGCTCCCAGTATATTCTACTGAGGTTCCCTCTTTATGAAGCTACGGTTGAAGAAATGTCCCATCAGAGTTACTCAGAAATCCCAACGCTCCTATGTTCAGCCAGAAACGCTGATGGAGAGAACCCACAGGATGTTCCCGAGAGGACTGCTCTCAATATTGGGTCGTATACTACAGGATGCATTTTACGCTGCTTAGGAAATCTGTCACCTGAATAACTGCTGCTTGATAAAAAAAATAATAATTTCATTGAAAAGTGTTCATTTTGCCTGTAATCAAATAAGTTTCATCAGTTCCCTCTTTATTATCCAAGTTTTGCTCTTTCCTCGGCAGTTAGTAACCTAACTTCTCAAATGACCTTCCTTTGCCTCATCACTGTTCCCAAACTGTGATCTTGATCTCGCTAAAATTTACAGCTCATTTTTCAGTCCTAGTTGATGAAAATGCATTCTTTCTCTCTCTCCCATTCCTTTCTCTTACAAGAAATCCCCTTCATATTCCCTTTGGGTATCTCTTCCTTCATCCATCCTCATGATCTGTCCTCTTTCTGTTGTCCCCAAGATGGCAAACACCACCCTACTGAACCCCATTCTGTGTCTCTCAATACCTGAGACACATGATTGTGGGAACGTCTCCATATTTCCTCCATTGCCTGTCTCCATGCTTACTAGAGCTGAGCTGTGGAAATTCCTTCCAGCTCAAGACCCCAAGTAAAAGTTGCATTTTATACAACCATAATTCATAATGTGAGTAGCATAAGTAAGCCATGCATCTATCCTCGCTCTGCACAAATGAGAATGATAAAAGTGCATTTTTTCATCTATTAGCAAGACAATGTATTTATCGACTAATCAAAACTTCCCAACCATTGCACATATGCCATTATAAAACTCACCTTTCAGTATATAATCAGTTAACAAGCTCGGAACCTTTTCACTGTCCTCCTTCATGGCACGAAGAACTGCAAAATAAAGGAGAGAAAGACTAGGCATTAATTTCAAACTCAGATAGAAAATCTCATTTACATTGTAACCTTTGTTAATTATCAGGCATAATCAATCCATGCAAATTAGTGATTACTTTCTGCCCACGGAAAAACAACTGCCAATGCTCAAGAACATACTGTAGTTGAGTAAGTCATTATTCAGGTGAGAACATTCCTGGTATCTGAGACTCTTCTCCCTGATACAAAACTTCCAGACAGTGGCACCAGCAAAGAAGAATCAGGTTATTTACCCAGAGCCTCAAGTCTGTCATAATAAACACTGGAAAGTGAGGGACCATCGTGAGCACTTCCATGAGCTCAGAGGAGCAGGCGACAGGCCCTCAGTCTGCACATCTCACAAGCGGGAGAAGCTCTCAGATAAATGACTAGTGAGCCACCTTCTCCAAGGAGCATATCTGTCAGCCTTCTTGGAAATGTTTAAAGGCCAAAATAAGGAGCAGACCTCCTGAAGCAACACCCAGGCATGCTGTCTGCTCGCATGCTATAGAGGAAGCACAGGTACATTGGCCTCACCCTCAAGGGAATCTTGAATGATTTTATGTCTAAGCAAAGACAAATAGCGAGATCAGCTGCTGGGGTGATTAAAAATCTTGACCACGCAGGTGCACAGAGAAACACGTAAACAAATGCTACACTTTCCCAGTGACCACTACCTCAAACTTTCCCCAGAGCACCCTGGGGAGAATGCCGCACTGCTTCCCCAGACACACGACAAAACGACACGGTATCTACCTGGGCTTAAACCCTGGCTGTCCCACTTCCCAGCTGTGGGACTCTGAGCAAGTTACTCAACCAGTCAGTGCACCAAGTTGCTCATATGTAACATGACAACAGTCATCAGACCAGCCCCAAAGGCTTGTCGGGATTATCAAATTACTAATTCAGACGTGAAGGACTTAGAATAGCACCCAACACAGAATATATGCTACGTAAGCATTAGCTGTAATTACTAACACAACAGTATTCTCATTCTTATTACTGTTGATACTGTACTTCCAGAAGCTTTTATGAGGAAGGCTACACAACCATAAAGGCTGCAACAGTCTCCCTGGGGCTTTCACCATAAACATCGACAGGTGGCGGCAGCAGAGGCCCCAGCTCCCCAACAACCCCCTCTGAAGTTTTTAGAACATAACCGCTCTTTACTTCAAAGTGAAACCCATACTAACTTGGGCATTCATTCACACCCCATACACATCCACTCACCCAGAGACTCTAAACTGTGTCATCTACACAACTATCATCTAAGGGTCAGCCTGAGGACATTCTGATGTGGGAATTATGAGGTCTTCAGCTTGGCCCAGCCTGTCTGTCTGTGCTCTGAGAAGCCGAGGTCTTTCCGTAATTCCTGGCTTCCAGGCAATATTTATGTTCCCTTCTCACAGGGCAACTCCGTTCAGTATCCCTGCTTCCCATTGTGTTTTAGATTGGTGTTCTGTTCTATATAAAATCACGTGCCATAGGCTAACATTATTAGAAAGTACAGTGGACTGGGAATTAAAAGACCCAGGCCTGTAATTAAGAATTCCCCTGTGTGATCTTGGACACTCATAACTTCATGAGGAAAATCAGAGGGCAGGCCACCCAGTTAATTTCTTCATTCTCTCTCTCTCAGACTGGGGTCATCACTTGATTTATCTGTATCTTAGTATAAAATGTTTTGAAAGTATCTTTCACCAAAGGAAAGAATAACGACTTCGGGTAGAAGAAGGCAGCAGGCAGCTTGCGCACACGATACCCTCACTTGCATATCCCTGAATTCCAAACTACATATCATCACCAAGATGCATTTCTGTGATTCCCTCTTATTTGGCTCCTTGTTTAATCAACAGGTAACAGACTGGCAAACCCAGTCCCTTCAAGGAAAACAAAGCTCAGTGATTGACTTACCCCAAATCACACTATGTTCATTTATTTACTATGAGGGAAACACAGCAAATATGTTTATCCTTGTTTTTCATTGTAACCAAGAGAGGGATAGGTAACCTCCAAGGATATCACTGTAAATAATAGGATAGAACCAGAATTCATTGCTCATGTATGGCTATCATAACAGATAATCAGTAGAATGTATGTTTAGGTCTCACAAATTGTTGTAAAATGTAAGCCTCTTGAAGTTGGAGTATTTTTGTCTGCTAAAGTATCTCAATGCCCAGAACACAGCCTGGCAGAGAATAGGCCTTTTTAATATTCACTGAATGAATATTCTTAAAATATTACTATCAATTTATTTTCTGCTTATGACTATTACCTTGGGTTCTACATTCCTAAGAAAGGAGAGTGATTCTGGCCACCGTCCAGATCTTTCCTACTGACTTACTGACAGTCATATTTATGTAATATCCATGAAACACCTTATCTGTTGAAAAATATGTTCTTAAACATACAAGAGACGATGGAGAATCAAGTTACACATTTTTCCCTCAAAAGTTCAGCTTGTAAATATTTCAAAAGGTAAGAAAAAGTACAAAAATTACAAATCAACTCGATTTTAGTGTCACGTTTGATGGTATAGCCATTTATGGTCTCATTCTCAATAAATGATGACATCTGTCATTTACTATCCTAAATTGACAAAACAAACATAGCAACGATCAATCAACCAAAATCAGTATTTAGAATCAGCAAAAGTAAATAAAGTAACAGTTTAATTTTGTCTTTGCTCACTTTTTGTTAGTATTTGAAGATCTTCAACAGATGGTGGTCCATTTTTTTTCTCGTAAGGAATGACTGTTGTCAAGTACTGCCAAGTTAAAAAAAAAAAAAAAAAAGTCACTTAAGTCAGAATGACCTTATCTGTAAAACTTTGATACAGTTACTACGGGTTCTATTTTACAACATGAAACACCACCTTCTTTAGTTTGGAATACAGGTATCTACCTCTCAGCTGTCTCTGTATTTTTTGCCTACTTCCATCTGCTTCAAACAAACCCAACGTTAAAATAAATACCCATTTTTTCACCTTTCAGTTATTGAAAATTTCACAAAAGTAGGTCTGAGGGTGATCTTTACAAGTTGTTCATTTTTAAAGTCAAGTCTTATCTAACACTCTTCTTGCACATTTCCAACATACTTGGAAAAGAGTAATTTAAAACTGAAAAAATAGTTGCAACAGTTCTGCATGACCAAATAATTCCCAACAGCCAAATAATTCTGTTTCAGACCATTTTTTTCTGGTTGAACAAAATGGTCATGTGGATAATCCGACAACTTAAAAACACACACCAGCTTCTTCCAGAAGCTGACAGAGGCACATGTAATATTACACAATTAATTTTAGAGGTGTATTATTATTACTGTTTTAAGTAATTTGTAAGTAGTTTAAAAGTTTAAAGGCATTAAAGGAAAAGAGAAAAGTGAAAGGAGAGAATGGCCTGGAGAATAATGAAAATTCTCATCTGATGTGGAGACAAACTGCCTCATTCACTACAGTGAAGGCTCACAAGTTTCAGTTATGGCCTGTAACTACATCCCAGGGGAGCAGAACCTAAAATTTATTGTCCAGATGTTCCTATTCTGACCACTCTACCAAAAACCCTATAGTGCAGTGTGGTCTGCCTGTGCTCATCTGGAGAGCTACTGATTTCACGGAGAATCCTTCAGATCCACCCAGTGTTTAGTGCTGGCCCTTCATCTCAGCTCTGGTCCTAATCCTCCTTTGAGCGATTGCACCCCTGAGTGAGCTCATAATCAAAAAACAAGCTAAAATGGTTTCATGAGAACTGGCTCCCTAGGTACAGAGAAGTAGGAAAAGTGAATTATTCCGTGTTTAGGAAACAAGTCCCACCAACTTTTTGGTGTAGACTTCTAAAAGCAGATACCGAGTTGTGGAAGTGAATGTGTCCTTGTGAATACACAGAAGGCAGGAAGCCAGCCCCCGCGGGGCTTCACGAATAGCGCGCATTGTCAGGGAAGCAGCGCTCTGACAGCATCAGGAAGCCACCCCTCGAGCACGCTCTCGGGCTTCCCCCGTGTGGGTCACTCTGGAAGTGACTTTACCGTCCTGTGCGTTTGAGACAGGTGAGAGGGGCCAGAAGAAAAACGAAATTGCGACCATCCCTCACTGGAGCTGTAAATGTCAATGTGAAGGATTCTTTGATATCGACTGTTTTCTCTTCTTTGAGTAACACAGAAACTATCTTTTAGTAAAAACCCTAGGTTCAAATGCTCGAGCTAATGTGAGAGGTTTACTTTTTGACGTGAAAATTTCAAATTGTGAAAAGTCATTTTAAGTATACTCATTAATGTAGATGTGTGTCCCGTGTTCATGATCTTCCTTAGGTCATTAAACAAAACGGCTACACATCTGACTGCAGGTATATTTATAGCCATGTAGAATTCTGCATAAATCACATCTCCTGCCTCACTTGACAGACAACTGAGTTGTCTGACTACGCGATACACCTTAAAAGCACCTGAATTTCATTTAAAAGGAGGTAAGATATACTCTTATCAACATGGTTGACCTAGAATTTTAATCAAAAAGCTACTGAGATCAGCTTTCTTCCTCCCAAAATGACACCTTGTTTCTCAGACTTTTAGAATTACAGTAGCATATTCCAGTTTAGTTATATATTCTACACATGCAGCTCAGGAGGTCAATGCAATTTCTTTAACGGCAGTGGAAAATGGAGCTCTAAAACACGTACTAAGAACGCATTTAGTCTGTTGCGCAATATGAAAAATGCTTTTTCCTAAAGGGAAATCCTAAGCATTATCGAGACTATAGATATGATGAACTTTCACTTCTCCCTTTTAAGCAACAGTCTTAGTAAATTAGTAAAAGTGACAGCTTTCAGGACCTTCACTTACACAGGGAATGAAAAAGCAGAGAATGAGGAAAATAAGGATAACCGAGCACCTGTTTCTCTCCACCTGAATTTCCAAAGGTGTGGCGGAGGCCATTCTGAATGACATTTGAGATCCCCTCCATGCTGAAGCGCTAAAGGCAGCAATATACGGCCCGGAGGAAAAGGACAGAGAAAGAAGTTCAAAGACTATTAGTAAGAATGCACCATGATGATTTATGTGCCCACGAGGCAAGCAGTTAGAAAATGCCACTACTCATTCACATAAAGCAGACAAAATCATGCTGTTTTTAAAATGATTTTGCTTCCATTTCTTTGCAAGTCAAATGCATAAACAACTGCTTTTATGCTACTGTATTCATGAAGAGTTTTCCTCACGTAGCTGATACATAAATTGGCTCCAATGTAAATATCATAAGTCATATACATATTTGTTTTTTGCAAAATTTACTATATAATTTTAAGATACCTTTTGATACTGTTTACCTACATTTTATCAAAAGTCTGCAAACTTAATGCTAACAGTATGCATATTTTCAGCCGAAGTTTCCATATTTCTACCACAAGTTTGGAGAAACAGTAACATAACATTTGGCAAAATGAGAGTGCTGTTACTTGGAGAGCTGATTACCGCTTCCCACTCGCTCTTCAGGCCACCTGCCATTGCCTCGGTGCAGAACTTATTTCTGGAGAGCAGAGTGGATCCCATGCGCCAGCAAGCCCCTAACACTTCCGCAGAGACTTTCCCACTGTTTCTAAAGATGATTCTAGCTTCTTTCCCCCAGCCGCCTCCAGGACTTCCTAGAACTCACTGTACTATAGAGAATACTTTTCCCCTAAACTACTTATCTTGATTTGTAACCAGTCTGCAGTGTCACCAGACACAGGGAAAAGGGTCCAGTGGCACCTCTCTGGCTGCTGAGTCAAAGGCCCGGGATGGATTCTTACACTGTGACTAATTAGGGCATCCTGGAACGGGAGTTCAGTCCTGATTCACCAGATGGGTCCTTTCTCTGGATTTTATAGAGGAAAGTGAATCACTAAACACATTTGAGGAGTCAATATAATGAAGATTTACCAGACCCCGAGGAACAGAAGAGGAAACCAAGGCAATGGTCTCTCCTTTGAACATGGTTTAGCCGAGTGGTTCTCAAAGTGTGGCCCAGGGATCCCCCGGGGGGTCCATGAAACACTTGTAGGGCCCATGAGCTCACAATTACTTTCTCAGAAATACTAAGACATGATTCACCTTTTTCACTTTCATTCTTTCACGACTTATAGTGAAATATCCCAAATGACAGGCTGAATGTGGAAGCAGATTTAAGAATCCAGCTCTCTTCGATTAAGCGAGATATTAACAAGACTGACAAAAATGCATAGCGATGCCATTTTTTCTCCCTAAATTTTAAAAAGCGTAGTTATTTTTCATACAAAACATGCTAGTTGTGTAAGCATTAATGAACTCCTTACTGGTATTTTTAAATGAATTGGTAAATTGTTCAAATTTTTATCTAATTTAGTAAATATCAACCAATATAGCCTATATAAACAGAAATCTCTTTGAGATCTTCAAAGAATTTTAAGAGTATAAAGAAGTCCTACCAACAAAAAGCTGAGAAACAGCAAGAAGTATATTTTTTGAGGGAGTAAAGTGACTCCTTACCAGTCACATACTCAATGGTGTTATTGAAAATGTGAGTACCAAATTTTACCATCTCTGAGAAACATGTACAACTATCTTCTCCTCCTGAGTGATCCTGCCCCATCTGGTCCTTCCCAGATGGGAGGCCAGTTTGTCCTGGCTGGCAAGAATCAAATGTCTGGTCCAGACACTTTGGCTGAACATACTTCACGGTGCTGATGGAGTAACTATCATCCTTGAAGAAGCAAGCTAGTTTTAAAAGAAAACTTACAAATAACTACTTTGTAGAGTTTTGTATTTGTAGATTTTTCACATGCTCTCACGTAATTTGTTCACATTTGTAAGCAGATTATCGAAAGAGATGAACTTCTTAGGCTCCGGAGTCCAGAGCCATTTTTTTTTTTAATTCTCTCAAATGTTAATTTCTCTCAAAAGCAACAAAGAGAAAAATTTTCTATATAACTTGACTCCATTGTAGACAATCTCAGTATAGATTCAGAAATTATCAAGCCAGGTGAATAGTTTTAGCAGCCATGCATCAAGGAACCAAGGTATATTTTACATTTGAACAGCATATTCTAAAAACACGATCTTTACTTCCTCGGTTTGGAACCTAACGGCTGTCACTGCAAAAGTAAAAGAAAGTTGATGTACATTCGTACATTCCTAGGTTACATATGTAATTCAGGCTTCCTTATTAAACGTGCAGGTGGGGACTTTGTGGTGCAAAGTCTTTAACTCTGGGCAGCCTGACGGCTTCTAGAAGATGGCTTTCGTGCAACCAGCACGTCAGGGCTGCTGGAAATAAGTAGGAACATAATCATGTGCTGCCACGGTGTCCTGAAAAACCACAAAACGAACAGCCGATCCCAGCAACAGAAATAAAGGGACTCTCCCTAGAACCTGCGCCCCTGGGCTGACGCGGCCCAGTCCCCACGGCGCCCTAAGCAGGGAAGCAGTGTGGCAGCTGGTAAGCTCCGGCTGCTCCCATTCGGCTAGGAAAATGACAGGACAGGAAAATCAAAGGGTTCGCAGGAAATAGAAAGAAACCAGCTAACAGATATGTCTGAGGACGCTCCTCCACCAGTGCTCTGGCGGCCATCGATTCCCACCCCTCCACCGACCCTTGGAATCACACGGTAGCCAGTCCCCCACCCCCCACCGACGCTGCGTTTTCGGACCCTTCCTCCTACCAGCCCTTTCTCAGGGGCAACGGTAAGTTCTCCAACCCTCGCGCTCGCTTCAGCAGCGCATGACTAGTTTCTCCAACCCTCAACCTACTTCCTTTCTTTCCTTTCCCCATGGTTTCCTCAGACAGCTCTCCCCAGGTCACTTCTCGATGCTGAGGGCCATGGACACTTTTCAGATCCCTCTGAGACAGCCCGGGAGCTCTCCGCCCTGCACCCCTCCCCTGGATTCCTACACGTCATCGTCTCCCTGAGCCCCCTCTGCCCCTCTGGTGGCTCCTTCGGAGGGAGAGGTGCCTCTTTCTCTGCTGGGCTCTCACATTCCGTGTCCCCTGGGATTCTGTCCCTGTTGTTTTCCTCATGCACACTCTCTGAATGTCCCCATTCCACCGTTTGATTCTCCTGCTTCCACAAATGTACACGCAGCTCCACTTTCCTAAGATCAGGAAAGGGCTGAGAACAGAGCCTGGCACTGAGGAAGGGGTTCGGTAAACATGAGCCAGTGTTACTACAACTTCCTTCCTGAGTGTCACTTGTGGGTTCAGTGGCCTCCTGGACCGCTGTACCTGAATACTGCTAAAGCCCATTTCATCCAAACTGAACTCCTTTTCCTCTCTCCTACAGAAAGTTAAAAACAAAAACAAAAACAAAAAACTCTTTAATCCTGTTCCTTTTTCAGCATTCTTTATCTTTCTCATGCATTTATCCACGCTTTCAAAAAATATGTTGAGCCAGATACTGTAGGTATTAATGACTCAGAATGAACACGTCCGCCAAAGCCCCTCCTCCACTCACGGCCTGCTGTTCCAGTAGAAGAGGGACAGAAAAAGTACAAGTAAATGGACTAGATCATTGCCGACAATGTGTTTCCAGCCGACAGCTACAATACGGCAATTAAAAACCAGATGCCTGTTTTATATCGGGAGGTGGAAGAAAAGCTCTCCAAGGAGGGGACATCTGAGCTGAAACATGAATTACACCCTCCCGGATGAGCTACAAAGGACAATGGACAAAAGAGCTCCTCTCAGAGAACAAAACCCAAAGCAGCCAAACTGGCCAACCAAAGAGCTCGCTCTGCGGCCAGCACACAGGGGTCCTGCTATGCTTCTCCACCAGGATGCGAAGCAGTAGCTACGGGGCATTTCCATTCTCCCCTCCTGCCCATAGGAAGTTTTTATGGCAGCGGCCCTGTTCTCGCTCCTTCTTTATGGGCAGATGTGCTAACATGGCAGGCTTCACCTCTGCTTCGCAGGGGCTACATCCAGCACTGACAGAAAGGGCAGGAGTCCCCCAAAGATGCCGGGCTTGAAGCCTAGTGCGGCTGCTGTTGACAGACCCGTACATCTCCCTTTGGGGAAGGGGTACGTGTGCTCTAGCTACACTGGTCCAAGTCAGGAATCAGTGACCTGACTCTTACTCCTCTCTTCCCTGGTGCCCGGCCAATAGATTCAGCCTCTCTCAGTATCTGAAAGTCAACCATCTTCCCATCCCTACTGTAACTCCTTGGCTCATTTCTTACCTGAATGAGTGCAACAGCCTCTGAGTCAACTTCTTATCTCTAGTTGCTCCCTTCCAATTAGTTCTCCTTGAAACACTGAAGTTGCCCTTCCAAAAGACAAATCTGAACATGTGATGGTCCACTTAAAACCTCTTTTTGGTTTCCTACAGCCTTTACATGAAGACCCAAATTCCTCAGCGTGGCATTCAAAGCCACTCAGTTCCGGGTTTCTCCTTTGTTACCTCCTCACCCTCTTCTTGAGGTACTTCCTCTCTCGCCTTCAGCTTTCTCTCTCAAGTTCTAGCCATGATGAGCAAACTGCAGGGCCCCAGATGGCCCTGTCGCCGCTGGATGGTTGCCCACACCATTCCCCTGCTTACTATGCCTGTCCTTTCTTCTTGTCCTCCAGATTCAACTCAGACCCCCAAACCAAACCAGGGGCAATAGTAACGTATCCACACCTTTATCATGAGATGGCGCCATGCACTAAACACATCAAGAACATGGTACCTGTTTTGAACACAGCAATGATCACTATATACCTAGGTTTCTCAACCTTGACAGTACGGACATTTGGAGTCAGGTAGTTCTTGGCTGGTGGTCGGTGGAGGAGGGGGCGGCGCATTCTAATGCATTGTGGGATGTTGAACAGTATCACTGACCTCTACTCGGAATGCTAGTAGCATTTCTCCTCACTCCATCTAGTTGTGACAAGGACACGTTTTCGGACACTGCCTAATGTCTTAGGGGGAGGCAAAACTGGTTTGGTTGGGAATCACTGCAACAAGTGCACTGCGTGCTTTGTGA